TACCAATTGGGCACCGGAGTGCGCATGCGGAATTATATTATATAGTATATAGGTTTTCTTGTTTCTTAAATTTTATGGAGACCCTAATTGTAGTTTTTAAATACTTGTGGTGGCTCCTATTTGCAAATTATGGATAAAGGGTATTTTTGGAAATTAATGTTTCTGTAAAGTTTCTGTAATTGATTTTTCTGTAGGTATATCTTTTCTCGTCTGGATCAGAGGGGAGTGCTATATCATGTGCGTTGAACCACAAATTTATTTATCTTTTCAATGATATGTCATTTTACGTACGGAGATTTTGAAATTTGTGTACCAGTTTTCTTCCATGATCTAGACACAATACACACACTAATATGAGTAAAAATTTGTTCAATTAATCAACTATTAAGTAGATTTAACTCCTGTTTGGTGAAGATTAAAATTAATTATTAACTTTTACTTGGATTAGCTACCAGACGGGGGCTTAATAATTTAGAAAATCGTATACACCCACATAACCACATTCCATCCACAATACAAATATGTGCCCGTTTGGCTCCCATTATTACACATTTTAGTGAGAAGAATAATAATTTTTGAATAATGTCTTATTAAAAAAAATTATTTTTGAATTTACGTTTAATATTATTTTATTGAAAAATATGTAATTAAAAAAGGAGAAGGAGAAAAATAAATTATAATTTAGCCCCCGTTTGTCATCCATTTTATTAAACATTGTTTGCTACAGTAAACAATCTTCAACACATATTCACTCAATAAAATATTCTACACATAAACCAATAAAATTATTTTATTTTTTAACCATACATTCTCCAAAAATACTATTCAAAACTCTATTTCTTCTCTTAGAATGGGAGGCAAACAAGCACCCAATGAGTGCCATTTATCATTATCTCACACGTGCTTTTATATGGGGGGTGTAGTACTCAAAGAGTAAAATTATCCGAATTTGTTCTTGGACTTTAACTGTATAGTTGCTAAAATTATGAACCCAAACCTGCCAAATCCTGAAATGGTGACCTTGCTTGAGCACTGCCGTATTGGACCGCCGTCTCCGGCGGCCGAGGTATCACTTCCACTTACGTTTTTCGATATGATTTGGTTGTACTTCCATCCAATTCAGCGTCTTCTCTTTTATGAATTCCCCTGTTCCAAGTCACATTTCCTGGAGGCCGTTGTTCCCAATCTTAAGGCATCTCTCTCCTTAACTCTCAAGCATTTCACTCCATTAGCAGGAAACTTAGTACATCCTACAATAGGCTCAAGCAAGCCTGTATTTCAATACAAGCCTGGCGACTCCGTTTCTCTAACTATTGCTGAGGCAAATGAAGATTTCGATTTCAATTACCTTACAGGAAATCAACCACGGGATGCTGATGATTTCTATGATTTTGTCCCCGAGTTGCCGCCGGAAAAGATTGAATTGGATTCCAAAATAATTCCGCTTCTTGCTCTGCAAGTAACGCTGTTTCCCAACGCCGGCATATGTATCGGATTTACCAACCATCATTCAATAGGCGACGCCAGTAGTATTGTGGGATTCATCAAGGCGTGGAGTTCAGTAACAAAATTTGTTGGAGACGAACATTTTTTGGCTGGAAATTCCTTGCCGTTTTATGATAGATCTGTGATTAAGGATCCATCAGGATTGGCTACTAAATTTTGGAATGAAATGTCCATTTTCAAAATTGAGTCGCTGCCTTCAAATTTTCCGACGAATAAGGTTCGAGCGACGTATATTCTGCTGGAATCAGACATCAAGAAGCTCAAGGATTTGGTGATCTTCAAAAGGCCTACACTGGTTCATGCATCTTCTTTCACAGTAACAACAGCTTATGTTTGGACTTGTTTGGTAAAAGCCGCCGCCGCCGCCGCCGCGGGCGACGATATCGACGGCGAAGAAACTGAATATTTTGCGTTCGCTGTAGATGCCCGGCGACGCTTAAATCCACCGGCACCGCCAACTTACTTTGGAAATTGCTTAGGAATTGTCTATACAGAATCAACGCACGAACAATTGAAAGGAAATGATGGGTTTCTCGTTGCAGCGGAACTGATTGGAGAGCTTATTAGCAAAGAGGTGAACAATAAAGAGGAAATCCTGAGAGATGCTGATAACTGGATATCGGTATTTGGGGCACTGATCGGAAAACGGGTTTCCGGTGTAGCCGGGTCGCCGAAGTTTGACCTATACGATACAGATTACGGGTGGGGCAATCCGAAAAAATTCGAATCTGTATCCATTGATGGAGATGGATCCATGTCACTTTGCAAGTCCAGAGAATTTGAAGGGGGTTTAGAGATTGGATTGTCGTTAAGCAAGCCAAAAATGGATGCTTTTTCACCTATCTTCTCCGGTGGCCTGCATGCAGATGATAGTACGCCACATTAATCCTAAGGTAAATTTCTAAGGTTTTACCGATGCATTGAAGGTTAATGGATAGTGAGCAATCTTAAATCTTCAGTTATTCTTCTAAAGCTTCAGTTGGTTGATCTAAATTTATTTAACAAAAATAATGTTGTGTAAATGGCATATCATTAGCCCCTATTTGGTAAGGAATAAAATTTAGATATTAATTTAAGTCAAAGTCAATCATTAATTTTAATTTCATATATCATGATACCTACAATTTTTCGATTACACATTTGATAACTTTTTACAAAATATGCTAAACCCATATATTTGAAGAAAAATTGGGAATTGAGAAGTTTCAACCCATACGTTTGAAGATGAGTTCTAAAGAATTTGTATTATAGATCTTGCCTGAAGCAGCTTCAAAAATAGTAAAAATTGATTATTCACCCGTGGGAGCACAATTTCCCAAAATTCATGTGAGATACATGTCAACAATGGCTGCCAGGTGGGGACCCTGAACGACTCTAATTCTGCTGAAAATTGAATTTTAAGCTGCTCCAGACAAACTCATATAGAGGCTCTGTTTAAAACGTGTTAGATTTACGAAGGGTTCAAGTTGATCAATGGAGGAAGGTTGAGCAAGTCCACTTTGCTGTCTACATCTCTCTCGATCGATCACGTATCTCGATCATGTACATAACGTAACAAAGCATTTAATAATAAAGTTTAATTTTCTATGATGATGAAAATATTTATACTTCTTATTTGTTTTCACATGGACATACCTAACTGTGAAATTTTGAACAACGCTCCTACGAAGCGAAAATGATGGTCTACATCTAATAACATAATAATCAACATTTGATATACAGTATGATTAGTAAATATATAGTGTGTGTTTGGTAGGAATTTTTTGGAGGAAGAATTGATTTTGAATAGTGATATGATGGGAAATGTGTGGTTGAAAAAGAAGATAAAATTATTGATGTGATAGAAAATATTATTTTATTGAAAAATGTGTGGTTGAAAATGAGAATTGATTNNNNTGAGAATTGATTTACTGTCGAAAATGAGAATTTTTACCAAATATACCCATATTATAGTATGGCCATGTTTGGTGCAACTAAAAAATATATTTACAGTTGATTTTGATAATAGTTGATAAAATGTGTAGTTAAAAAGTTATGGATCACACGAAATGTATGATTAAAATTAATTGTACTCTTTGATAATTCGTAATATTTTATTCAAACTACACCAAACATAAACAATATAGGGCATTCATCCCGCGTAGAGACGAAGCAGATTCACGTAAGGCCACATGCCCTTCTAGCAAAAAAGGTCCAACATACCCCATCAATCTCACATCGGTCTTTCCATAAGCTATCTTGGGGACTTGTCCGAGAGCATGATCCTATTTTGGCACAAACTCATCCTAGATGAGGCGAGCCTCTAATGGAGGGACCATGTGCTCTCAATCAGTTTGATTAAGAGTGGTACATGGTTTCATTTGGTTCTGATTCTAAGAGAATCGGACCGAATTATAAATCAATGATTTTT